GACATGCACGCAATGCTGCCACCCCCGACCACTCGGCCAACCAAGCGCCAACGCCGCACCAAGTAAGCATCGCTTTATGAAGAAGAGTTTTGCTTTTATGGTCGTCGAGTTTTGTGGCCGGTAGTGTCCTTGCACCCATCTCACTTCCAATCCGCACAAAGAGAGAATTGTTTCGTGGGAAGCGGATTCCTCACATCTTCTCCTCTCCAAGACGGTGGCAACGGTGCAGCCTGGCGACCCTAGACTGTCCGACACCCAGGCTTTTGATATCCACAAACACTCTCGACGCAATCCTGTGCAAGATACCCGGATACTCTCGAACCTGGCAAGATGTGTCGAGTCTTGGCGACGATTATCTCATCGTGCAGAAGCTCTTTGGGGCATGCTGGCGCCGGATACTGTTCGGTCCTTATTTTTGTACTTTTTGCGGAACAACGTACTAGTATCCGATACTATAAATTTTGTACAGTCCAGTTTCTCCGCCTTTTGTCTTTGTGCATGGAGTGCTGTGAGTGCAGGTGGATAGTGTACCGAGGATGGTGGTCGCAAAATATATGTTTTGTGGTTGCACCTCTCGGCGACGAGGACCACACATTTGCGGATTTGCCGTGTCCCAGCGCATGCTCAAGCTCGCCACGTCCGCCCTTTCGTACCATGCCTGCAGCGTGAAGCGTCCAGCACCGATCACCGTCCCTCATATCCGCGTCCAAGGGCTTGACGAAGAGCTTCTTTGGCCGCTGCCGCCGCATCAAGTGGCGGCGCTGCATGCTCTCTATTCCAGTGGCACCTCGATCGTGATCCTGTGCGACATGTTGTTCGAGGCCGACTCGGACGCGATCTACGAACACGAGGACGACGCCGACTTGGACGGCGTCGTGGATCGTCTCGATCAGAGCGACCGGGCGGTCATTATTGCGCTCGACAAGCTCGTCATCGACACGACGGGCGACGCGGAGGCGTGGAAGCCGATGAGCACGCATGCAAGCCTCTTTGGCACCATGGCGGTCACGCTGCCGTCGGACGCGGTCGGCGGCGCCGTCACCATTTCGTATGAAAACCGGACGACGTCGTGGGACACGGTTGATGACTGCGTGCTTGGCTTTCACGACACTTGCTCGGTGCACGTGGCCCCCATCACGTCGGGCGCGCGCACGACGCTCTTCATCCGGGTCGCGATTCAACTACGGGGCAGCGACGACGACGACGATGACGATGACGATGACAACGACGACGACGACGATGACGACGAGAGGGATGAGACGCCAATGCTTCTTCCCACGCGCGCGGAGATGATGGACGCTGTCGCCGCGACCCACACGTACAAGTGGGTCGTCATCGACATGCGTATTGATAACCGTGGTGCGTCCTCGTCGTGTTCGCTGGACGCCATGACTGGCTGCCTGCGCAACGCGGTCGAGTACCTCGTGTCGACAGGCGTCCTGGACGTTGCGTTCGTCTATCCCAACGAGGTATCGCAAAATGTGTTGTTCCACCCGGCGTGCCATGTCCCGGCCTCGGTCGTCGCTGCCGCCACCCGCAAGCGCCTACAGCGCTTTACGTTCAGGGAGCTCAACATGGCACGTGGACAGATCACCATGGTGTTTTGGCCCAAGGCGCACCGCGTGTACTTTGTCGGGCTCGAAACTGCAATCTCGCTCTTGACGTCGCACGTCGCCGGTGGCAGCACCGACTTGGTCGGGTTCGCGACATTGCGCGAGTTGGCGTCGGCAACGATCCACACGCTCTGTAAAGCCACCCGTGCACTGCTCGATCTCCGCATGACCTCGGACGACTGGGCCAACCTCAGCGCTTTTGTCGTCAACCATGGCGACGTCGATCTTGCAATGGATTTTCTCTGGCACGTGGGCGACCACTATTGGAAGTTCGGCGCGCTAACGATTCGTCGCGACTGGCTCCGTGTTCTCGTGGCGCGCTGCGGGTGGCGCACAGTACTTGGACCTTTTATTCGCATCATCCAGCGCTCCTACTCCTACTCATACGCCGGTACGATGCTCATGGACTTGGTCGCGGGTCTTGTCGAGAACAACCGCCTTTGCGTGCGGCAGCACCACGCGACCGAGTTTCTTGCCTCGGCGCTCGAAGAGCTTCTTCAAGTATTCCTGTGCCAGTCCGGCAATTTTCTCCAAAATGCGCTCTGTGTGTCCTTGTGCTTGACAGCCGAGTCGGCCGATCCACTTGTCGGAGGTGCCTTGGCGCAGCGCCTCCCATTGCCTCTCGTCGAACACATCGACAGCTTTGGGGCGCCGCGCTATACGCTTGCAGACGCCCTTTTGTGGTACAGAAGCTCCTTTCAGTATGCGCTGCCATCCGTTCTCTTGGCGCTTCTGCCGTCGTTTGGGGTGCTAGCACTCCAGCCGTTCATCACCATCGCCCTTCAACTATTCGGCCCATCCGAGTACACGTTGTACGACAATGGGATCGTGGCACTACTGCAGCTCACACACGGTACGACAAGCTTTGACGCTGCGTTAGACATTGCATTGGCAAGCAACATGAAGACGGCCCACTGGACGCGATTCCTCCAAACAACGGCGTTGCAACTCGCACCGGCGCATGCCGCGCGGCTTCTGGCCCACGTCACGGCCCGATTTGATGCCACGGTCGTGACCCCACTACACGACACGGACGAAGTTTGCAAACTGACGTCGGACGCGCCCGGCGCGGTCTGGATCTGCGCCCATTTCGATGACACGCCGGGTCTGGCGGAGCTGCTGGCGTATGCCAAGGCCCTCGAAGCTGCGCACGAAGCACCCATCACGGTCATCATGGACGTTATCGTACCCTTCCACGACCAGGCCGTGAACGCTGGGCATTCCGACTTTGCTCGGACGCTTGCAGCGATTGGGTTGCCGCAACTGACGGCGCGACTGGCGGCGCTATCGGCGCCGACGATCGCCCGCGAACGATCGTCCAAACGATGCCGATGGTGTCCGCGCTACTGCGACGAGGTCGCAGATTTTGCACGGAGCTCGAGACGGGTGATGTATGTGAGCGACAAGGTGGCGCGCACCATGTGTGTGCCGTTGCGACGGTATCCTGAGCACGTGGGCGACGTTTGTTGGGCCGAGTTGAGGAACAACCAGTTGGTGCTGGTCAACAACACGGACGAGCTTGTGGCCAAGATGCGCGACGCCGCAACGCGCCTCGAGTCGAGTCTTACGCGACCGCCAAAGCGCCCGTGTAGTTGCTGGTAAATGCATCCCAATCGCCAATGTATCTGATGGGACCTCGGTGGCGAAGGTCGAACACTAATGTCGTACATACGACTTCAACCGCACTTGAACATTGACCCATGACTTGAAGTGGCGTCAACCGCCATGCGCACCCTGGGACGCCATGACGCTATGGGCGGTAGGTCGCGTCGGCCCTTTTAGTGAATCCTACGAGGTCGTGACGCCACGTATGAAAGAGTGACCTTACTAGTATTAGAGCAGAGGTTGGTTCTGCTGCCAGCAACAGCAACTGTGGTCTCGCCACAAGGTCCTCGCCGCTGTCATCCGGATACGACACTCGGAGCATCCGGTTTTGTGCGCTTTTCGTCGCTGATGATGGACGCGCTCGTGGGCCAACTCGGTGCGATGCCAGCAGCGCAGGGGCACCTCGTACGTCGGCAGCAAGGACGCATCTCGCTCCATGGCATGAGTTTGATCGCTGACACGCTGGCGGCGTCCGGCCTGTCGTCGCACGTGCAAGCGCAGCTGGTCGACGTAGCGCGCCTCGATCGCCACGACGAAGCCGCCATCGTCCAAGCCATCGAGAGCGCGATGGCGCCGGGTGCAGCGTTTTCCCTGAAGTTGTCGCACCTCATGGTGCACCGCGTTGATGGTCGCGCCGACTTAACGAGTCGCGAGAGACCTGAAGGGACATTCGGCA